CCCCTCCTCTCCATCTGTGTTTTTGATGACGGAGCAGCCCCTCCCGACCATGTTGCTCCGACTCCCCCTCCTCGCCGCCGGGATTGAAGCCCACCGGGAGGGGCTCCTGATGCAACAGGGGTTACTAGCCAGCCAGCCACCATATGCTCTTTTTACATCCATATGGGGAACGGCATGATTTTTTAGTCGTTTGAAATAGTCTCATACTTTTGTTGCGTGGTTTACCATAATGGGCAGCACAGATGTTAACTGAAAGCCCAGACACGTCTTTCGCCGTTATTTCACCACTACAGGACAGATTTTTGAGGGACTTAGCTCATCACAGCACCCCCACCTATGCTCTCTGACAGTTTTAAAATATCAGCTTTTTATCTTCTCAGAACTAATCTAAATGAGCGTATAAAGCTTTATCCCAACTGATGTGATTCAAATTAGCAATTTATTTATGGAGGATATTCGAAAGCTGGAATTATCCTATATTTTCATTTTTGGACCTCTTTGTTCCTTCCCACCCGAACTGGTTTTAGGCTTCACTGATTACCTCGTCCAACTCTATATGCAGTTACTATTTTTTTGAAGATGGCTCAGCTCTGCTCCTCGTCACCCGGTCTGGCTGATGCTGTAGCCGAGCAGTCGGAAGCCCAAAACATGCTCGCTCGGCTTGATAGACTGACCCACCTATTCGCTGATGCCATCGTCTTCGAGGAGGCCCCGGATGGTAGGACATGATTTTTCCACGTCACTTTTCCTGTGTGTGTGCGCGCATTTTGATAGATTTTTAGGGCAGGATGTTTCAAGTGTTAGTGAGCATAGACGAACGGTTACCTATCATCCTTCAATTAGGTGGGCAAAACGAATATGCACTCGAGCATAGAATGAATTAGGTGGGATTAGACCTTGCTCACCTCCGCCAGAAACAGGGATTATACAGGATTTTCTTCAAAGTGATCATCCTATATGGACAAGACATGACTAGTATGGTCGGAAGATATCCACTGACTTGAACTATCCATTTGGCGGTCTTTGCGCTCTACACTCTAAAATAATCTCCCCATGTGATTAGTCGGCAAGGACAGCGAATAATACTTACTAGCGCGGAAGCCCGGCTTCGCCTTGGCTTCCTTACCCATTGTTGTCCCTTATGAAGGAAAAAGGGCAAGTGTCCTCTGCAGTAAAACCTTTTGAAACAATTAATACATCCGAGGGATAAGTAAACAGTAATGAAGAACGGTATGGAAAGACGGAGAACGGTAATTGTGGCACCGGAGGGAGTGACGTACGTAACCATTGAGGGAAAACGGGGTAGAGGTCAAAGGGAACAGTAAGGAGGAAACAAGTAAAAGTAATAATGGAAAGGACGGAGGTAGGGTATAACGCCAAGGGAGGAACAAAAAAGAGCCGGCTTTTGAGTGACTGAAGAATTACAGGAGGTATGGTTATAAGTGGGGTATTAGTAGGAACCGCATGGAAGTGGAAGATATAACCGTCAGACCAATACTTCATGGTAAGCAACATTCTTCGAAATCCCGTTGGGTGCCCAGACGTATAAATTCCGTTTTGAACCAACTCAAGATATGGTAC